CCGCCCGTCTCCCCCACAATAGGGGACTCTGGGTGGCTTACAAAGACATTAAAACTATAAACATATATAAAATGCATAATATATGTATAAAATTAAAACAATACTAAAAGATACATGTGGCAGCGTTTTTAAAAACGGGAGATGTATCTGGGTGGTAGCTAAGGGCAATGTAGGAACATAGCCATTATTTTAATGCCCTATCAGATACCTGCAGCCAGTGAATCTCCGCCAGGGCCCCGGGGTCAAACAAAGATGTGAGCAACCTGGCCCAGCCCAACCAGTCTGCTGCACCCTTCTGCAGCTTCCCACATAAGCGACAGCATAAGGCAGAGGAGCAGAGGAGCAGCAGTCCAAAAGAGCTATGGGACCAGGATGAGGTTGGCATGTGGGGACAACACCCATCGGCTTGGTTTTTCAGGCCCAGCGGTGGGACAGCTGCTGGGAGTATCTGCTGGGATGGAGGAGAGACTTTCAGATCTCTTGCCCAAGGCCCACAAAACATGGAACCAGCCCGGAGAAAGATATGGAACTGGAGGGTAGACTAGGAGCTCCCCAATCATGTAAATCAAGCTTGACATACTAGAATAAAAACCTATGTGGCTATGTCAACAGTGGAAGAAGCCCAACACAATGTTCTTTGCCCTGAAATATTTTAAAGAGAACATTCCAATTTCATGAGCTGAATATGAATTATAGTTGAAACTTTTGCTGTAAAGAAATAATGGTTTATTTTGGCTTCATTGGGATATAAGAAAGGTGGAGTTTGCATGTCGTCTTTGGTTCCTTCACTCAGAGGTGTGTGTTTGGGTAGGAGTGCACCAACCTTCCCCAGTGTCCTGCAGAACAGAGCACCAGATTGATTTTAAAAAGGTTTTGTTTTAAAATGCATTCATTCTCCTCTGCACTCTGAAGGAAGTGGTAGCACCTCATTCTGCAAATTGACCCAGCAACAATCAACACCATTAGTACCCCATTTTAAATACAACTCCTTCTCCCGGCAATCTGAAATCCTGACACCTCATTCTGCAGAATATTTTAAATCCTACCACCTGCAGCCACCCCTATTCTGTGGAGTCCAAAGCACTACAACCTAGAATCCCAGCCATCATGGTGTAACACAGCCAGGAACCTTGGTCTTGCCCCAGGCTAAGAAAAAACTGCCCCTTTGTGGTACCTGTGAAGAGTGTCCGCCGACGGTGGAGGCTCTGGAAGTTGTCTAATAAGGGAGTGATGATTCCTTGCATGTTCCCCAGCATGGTGCTCAGCCCTAAGTTGAGCAGCATAAAAAAGAACAGCATGGACCAGAAGGGGGCTGTTGGAAACAGGGTCATAGCTTCTGTGAAGGTGATGAAGGCCAGGCCTGTCCCTTCCACACCCTGAGGGAGAAAGAGAGAGAGAGGGAGGGAGAGGGAGAGGAGAGAGATTGAGAATAGGACCTGTAGCAGATGTCAAGTTTAAAGCAAATGGAAAGCTTAATACAGACTTCCTCAATTTGGATCTCTTCCAGATGTGTGGATTTCAACTTTAAGAATTCCCCAACCAGCATGGCTGCTCCTGAGAATTCTCAGAGTTTCAAGTCCACACATCCAGAAGACATCAAACTGGCCTAGAATGTCCTGTTTAGCCAACTTATGAAACCAACAAGAAGAGGTTGTGACAATCCTGGGGAGCAGAAGGGCCTATGGACCTGGTTACGCCAGCCTTTTTGAACTTTCCAGTTTTGTCCTATAAAGCCACAAATGATACTGGAGTTGAAGTCCAACAGATCTGGAGGACATCAGGTAAGGGAAGACTGGCACAGACTACACAGACTTCCTATTTTAACAGTTCAGTGAAAGAACATGTAGAAAGAACATACAGAAAGCCCCAATTTTAATCCTAGCATCTCCACCTTAAAGGAGCGGGTAGCATGCTGGAGAGCCTTTCTGGAAGCAGACAATCCTGGACTAGATGGCAAATAGCCTGACCTGGTATAAACTGTTTCCAAGAGCTGCCCCACTCTTCTGCTCCACAAATAGAGGCAAAGTAGCTTAATGGAGAAACAGGAGTGGGACTAGGTATTTCTACTGCAGAGTGAATTCTGCATCTCTCTTCATCTCCTTGACTAATAACAACCTGTCCAGATCTGGGATGAATGGTGATTGTCACTGTTCTTTCATATGGAGTGTGAGATACCTGCTTGGTTGAGAGGACCATGGGAAAAGAACCGGGGGTGAAGAGCTCGTAGTTGTGGTTAGCTGTGCTGCTACTATAGAAAAGGAGTAGCAGGGAGGAGGAGGAGAGGGAGGGAGGGAGGGAGGGAGAGAGAAGAAGAAGAAGAAGAGGAGTAGGAGTAGGAGGAGATGTTTGTCCTTTGCTTGCCTGCTTATAGCATTTTTCTATGCTCTTTAAAAACTAGGGTTGCAGGTTTGAAACTGTCCCACCAAGATGTTGCAACTCGCCAGTATGCAGTCTATTGTGGCCTCTTAGTGGCTGAACAAGCCTGCTTCTACCATTCCCAGTAGATTTATCTTCCCCAGAAAGCTTTCACGCTAAACTGGAAGGCTATGTTTTGACTGGCAACTCACAGTTTATGCAAGGCCATGTCTGCTCAATGGCTTGACTTTTTTCACCCCTCCCCAAATGCAGCTGTTGCTTCTGGGGATGGACTCCACCCGCAACTGGGTCCACACACATCATTCTAAGCCATAATCTTGCTCTTTTGGTTTTGGTGAATTTAGCCATTGGGGTTTATAGATCCTAGTTAATGGGTTAGCATGTTCTTGAATGAACTATAGTTAGCCAGATGTTTGGATCCAGCCCTTGCCTAGCCACTCACCTTGTTCATTTCATCTTCTATACGGCAGTCGCCAAGGTTCCACTCTTGCAACTGCTTTTTTGTATCATTCCACTGATTCTGATACCAACTGCTGTATTGAGCAGGAGAGAATTCAGAGAAGTTTGTAGGAAGCACACCTGAGAGGGAACCATTCTTCACCAGCTCGGTCAAATGATTTGCATTTCTGTCAAAGAAATAAGCATACGGTACATGCAGAAAGATTAGAAAACACATAAAACCCCCAAAACAGTACATATAAGCCCAAACTCAGTGACCTGGAAGACATTAGATCAAGGATGGACAACTGAGGCTTGGGGGCAACTTTGGAATTTCAAGAATATGTTGGGTGAGAATGCTGGAATTTGATGTCCAACACATCTGGAAGGTTCCAGGTAGAGTTTAAACTGTTGCAAGCTACTTTTTATTAGCATATGCTTACATATAATAAATAGAAACAATTACTGTAATACATACTAATGTGTTATATGGACTGGGCATTGACTCCAATAAGGAATCTCTCTTTCTCTCTCTGTATATCAAGATTTTATTTATTTATTTATTAATTTATTAAATTTGTATGCCACCCATCTCCCCCAACAGGTGACTGTGGGCGGCTCACAATTAAAATATTACACAAACATAACTTTCAAACCTATTTTTTCAACTAGTTACAGTACCATCCATAATAAAAACCAAAATGAGTGAATGATCAAGAACTGCCCCCACAGCTTATAATACTGTGCAAAGCTAACTTAATCCTCATATTTCTGATCCATCTTAAACTCTCTAAGCTGTAGATTCCATCCATCACAGATCTGTGTCCAATCTCCCAAAAGCAATTTATGAGAAACTTATGTATAAATCACTGTAATTTTATCAGCACTGTAGTCCTTACTTTATCCACTTCTCTTTTGAGCATCTAAGTTTTATTAAAGGAAGTTTTACCTTTTAAAGCTAAAAGGAAGTTTGACCTTTCCTTTTTCTTATTTTTAATAAAACAGATTTAAAACTATAACTTCTGTTTTGGCCTGCAGCTCCTGGAAAAAGGAGGAAGGGCTGTTTTTCTCTGGCCACACACCTCAAAGTTACAAGGGCCAGATGACACTAGAGGAGGAGGATGCTAAATAGCAGCAGCAGCAGCAGCAGCAGCAGCAGCAGCAGCAGCAGCGAGAGAACTGGAGAAAATCACAAAATACGAAGACCTGCAATAGAACGACTATGGCAGAAGAAAGCAAAGTTAGTACCAATAGGCGCCTTCAGTCCAATCCCAAAACATCTGGAGCACCACTTGAACACCATCGGCATCGACAAATCATCATCAGCAAAGGGCAGATTTACTCGGAACAGCTTATATCCTGCGACAATACCTTTCAACACCATCAAAAAACAACATCTGCCTATCCCAG